CTTTATCTTTATAAATAATTCAGTCTTCATTCTCAAAACTTATTATAAACTATATTCATGATAAAATCTATCTTCCAAAGTATAGTTTGTAATAGTAAAGTTAGCAAAACTATCACAGCAAAACTAATAATACTATTATAACAAAACTAATATTATAATACTAATTAAAGTAATATTTAGATCATAGCAAAACTAATATAAGTATCATAACAAAAGTATCATTTATATAATCTCTAAAATATATAAAAGTAATATATCTTAGCTAATAAAATTAGATAGTCAGTTAATAAATCAATTAATAGTTTAGTTAATTAGATATTTAATTTAGTTTGAATTTTATGAATTTAGTTCACAATTCATATTTAAGTAGATTTTAATTTAAAGAAAACTCTAAGAAATCTCTTTTGTAGAATAAATCTTGATTAAGACCTATTATTTCATCTTATTAATAAACTAAATATTATATTTATCTTGAAATTATACTTTGAAATTAGATTATATTCTAGTTAATCATAACAAGAATACTATTATTATTTATCTTTAGATAAATCTTAATATAATAATATTTATATTCTTATCAATAAATTTTTTAGAGACTCTTTTAATATTATTATAAGTACATGATTACTTTTATCATATGCTTTTGATATATTAGAATTAATACTTATTTTTTATATCAAATTCATATAAAAAAAATAATAAAATAATAAAATAATTAAAATAATATAAAAAGTTAATTTAGATTATTTTTTATTTAATATAAAAAAATTATAAAGATTAGTTAAAATTTAAATAATTTTTATTAGAAATAATTATTGATTTTTATATTAAGATATAAATTTTTTTGTACTAATAATAATTATTAAAAAAAATAATTATTAAAATAAAATATATTTTTAAATAATATTTAAAATTCTATTATAAATATAATTTTATAAAATAATATTAAGATTTTATAAAGTAAAAAACTTGAAAATTATATAGTTATAACTATATAAACTTAGTATATTAACTTTTATAAATTCTTAATAATATATCTATAATTACTAAAATATGTATAATAAAAAATTAATAAGTTAAATTATTAAATAAGTTATTAATAAATATAAATTATATTATTAAATTCTAAAAAATATTGAATAACTAATAAAAATAAATAAGAAAAAATAAATAAAATAAATTATTAAATAAATAATTAAATATGAATAATATAAATAAATATGATATTCATTATGCTTTATATGATTATTATTATCACGTGAACAAATAATGTATGAAAACATTATTGGTTGCATTATACAATATGTTATTTTACATTAAAGCCGAGAAATTGAAACAAAATTATGTAATTGGCGAGTTATGATGTTCTGTACCATAATCACCAATATATAGTCAAATGCTTTATTAATAAAAAGCAAATATATTCGTTTATTATGAAAGTATCTCAAGCAATAAATAACGTTACATTAAAAAAAAGAACATTTATGACTATTGTATTAACGTGCAATATCACATGATTTGGTAGATTCTCCTTAAAATCGAAAATCACAAAATCAAAATATAAAATGACGGCAATGCAAACAGAAGACGTGGACGATTTTTCTTTCCTCATAAGCCAACTTCAAGAGCTTCGTAACTGCATCGATGTAAATGACAATCAATATTCAACTTGAAATTAGTTTTCGCTTTAATATATAAGCAAGATTTACAATATAATAGATAATTTGGAGTAATACCTATGAAGCCGTTAACAAACACGGAGCTGGTGGGGGACATAGTAACGCGTAAATACAAAAATCAATGCATTATGGGTTGTGGAAAAAATATATTAACATTGAATTACTCATAGAATCCGAGGAAAAATACCTAGAGAATCTGCTGACTATCAAAAAGAAGCGATAAAAGCTGCCCACGTTGAATTCAATGAAATAATGAATCAAGTGTATATGGTAGTGGTAAGTGAACTATCTAATAACATTATTTCTTTTTCCCAAAATATAAAAATCTTTAATTGATATTTATTAGCAAGACGCGAAATACACACTCCATCAAGAATATCTACTAGAAAAACAGAAAGAAGCAGGTGCTGCATCGTCCTCAACAATGACAGGAATCGAAATTGCATCCGACTCGGCGGCAAATCAAGAACTCGCCAAAGCAAAACAACGAAAGAAATTTCAAGAACTCAGAAAAGCATTGGGTATTATTCAAGGTAATGCTAAGGATGATGAACTTCAAGAAATGAAGGCGGAAAAAGGTAAAAGTTTTGCTGCTGCTGCTACTTCTTCCTCATCGTCGGTGTCAATGAAAATCGACGATCCGGAGATTATCAAGATAGAGTGATGATGATTAACTAAAACATTTTTTATTTACCGTTATTAACTAATTTTCATTTTTGAGATTAATCGTTAATGTGAAATCAGAGTTGGTTTCTTGTTACTGATTTATGTAACCGTCATTTAATATCTCTATGAGAAAGATTGATTTATTTTCTCGTTATTTTCGTTGAGAAAAAGGACAATTATAAAGTCCTTGCACTTCAAATTCCCTACCAACTTATACAAATTATATAATGTAATGCAAAATTTTTTTATTTTATGTAAATAAAATAGATTGAGAAATCCCTTTTGTCTATTTCTCTATAATTGACAGACTTTTTAAGGAAGCTTGCGTCTCGATTATCTATTGAACAATGATTTACTTTAGAATATTAAGAAAAATTTAAAAAACGGCGCCTAGGAAACAAACCTGAATTGCTTGTTTTACTTCTAAATGATCGCGCGCAGCTCGCATCCAATCTGAAGTAATGGTTTTCGGCCACCCTTTGAGCTGATTCAATTCTCTTGTCGCCTTATCCAAATCATGTTCTTTCAAATGATGTTCCACGCGAGCCAAAACAGCCTCAACATCATCACCCTCCATCATTCCATGTTTACGAAACATAAATCTGTATAGAACGCGAGAAAGCGCATGAGGGAGCAATCCGCCATTCTCCGGTACTAACGAAGCGCTTCGTACTGCTTCTCGAACTTTAGCAAACCGCGCTACTAAATTGGAAACCGATTCAATCCCTGTGGAAGATACAGAATCATCAATAGTTGATAATACAACTGTCACCAACTCATCAGTCGATGCCTCTTTTTTTAAGGTGGCTACCTCGTTGGCGAATGGTATGCGATGAGGCTGATTAACAGCGTTCTTTAATGCGTATAATGCACGCCATAATCGAAGGTCTTTGATACGATCATCCAAATCATCGACATTTTGTACGCTGAGATTTTGTAGTTGTTTTAGACGTAGATTAAGCTCCTCGAGATTAGCTAAACGGCCATCTCTTTCTTGTTCAACCCTTGATTTTATTTCACGAATCCATTGTCTTTTCATTCTAACACCTTCGCGGATGAGTGTATTTCGAAGCTCTTCGGCGTGTTTTTGAGCTTGTCGTGATAATTCATCCGTTAGATCTTTGTGTTGTTTCAATAATAATTGTTTGCTTTTTTCGAATTCATCCTTAAGATTTTGTTTCTCCTTCTCTGAATTATCCAATTTTTCGGACAATGATCTTTTTTTGGTTTCTAAAAGTGTATTAAACGTCTCTTCTTGTTCTTTAAGTGCAGCATCAATCAAAGAATATATTTCAGTTCTACTAGAATTAATTCGATCATTCAATCTTTTTACTTCTTCTTTTGCCTTTAAAATAATATCTGAGCTTGCGTCCGTTTCTTTGACAATACTAGCAAGTTGGTTTATTGTTTGATATAGTTCATTAATTATGGGTTCCTCGGATGTGAATGTATGGATTTCTTGGGTCAATAAAGGGGATATTTTTTTATCAAGTTCTAAGGGCAAAGGAATTTGCTCTGGTGGTGGCGGTGATGGTGGTGATGATGTTGCTGCTAATGGTGTTTTCTCCTCATGATTTTTTTCTATTTCAGTCGTTGGTTTCGAAGTTTTGGATACCTTTCTAGATAAATTATCGTATACATTGAGACCAAAATCAATTGTTTTTGCACTTAACTCTGAAGCTTGTTGTTTGAGATGATGGAATGTCCCTTGTTTATAAAGACCATCCACATATTCAACAACTTGGTTTGCACCAGGAACATCTTTTGTAAATTTTTCACGAAACTTTTCATCATGAATTGAATGATACACAGCTCCACCATAACATACGCCACCTAAAAGAGCTATCATTAAAATATATTTGCTATAACTCCCTGAAGTCTTTTTCTTCGTCGTCTCGGATCCAGTTTCTTTAGATTCATTTTTTTGTTGATTTGATGATGATGATGATGATGATGATGATGATGATGATGGTGGTGGTGGTGATTGTTGATCAGAAGTGGTGATGAATTCATTAACAGTTGATATTGGTGGATTTTTTGAAGTGGCAACATCTGTTATTGGAGGATCTTTTAAAATGGGTTCTTCTATAATTTTAGGCTCGGAAGTTTTATCAACATTCGTATCATTTAAGTTTCCGTTGTCCTTTTGCTTTTTACTTTTAAACCTCTAATAAGTACACCGTATCACCAAAAACAGGGAAAAGAAGCACCAACTTTCCAATGTCAAAAAGCAAGTTAACGAAAAAAGTTTTTGATACAGCCGAGTTTACCTTTGCACCTTCATTAAAAATACGATATGGCTTTGCATACTGTGAAGGGTGAGTATGTGTAGTTGTCACTTGGACGAGTTGCATGCCAAGTCTGACCCGTAAAACCAAGCGTGCATTAAACATGCTTAGAACGTTGCATTATCACAGCACAGCAAAAAATTTAGTATGCAAAGTAAAATAATGCAAAGAATATTATATAAAGAATTCTACTTACATGCATAATAATTGTATTTCGGAAGAGAAAATCTCGGTTTGGATTTTTTTCTCGAGATCTTAAAAATTAGTTGTTATTCAGGACTTTCCTAATTTGTCCAAAATAAAATAATCGGCAACATAAAATTATATTTTCATTAAAGCTCTACTTGTTCAGAGTTTAATAGCATTTTTCTTTCTGTGAGCTGGAATGGCAGGATTCTTTCCCAAGGAAACAGTCAAGGTAAAAAAAAACAAGCAATAATATCTTAATATTTGCATGAATTCACAAAAATCTGTTAATATGTATTTTAGAACACTGCTGAGGTGGTTGGGATTTCTAACTTAAAAGACGAGGTTGCATTGGCTCTAGCACACGACGTAGAATATAGATTATACGAAATAATACAAGTAAGTCTTATTTCTAGGAAAATTCAATCACCCTTTGAAAGATTTCGAAATTCTTTTTTTTTTTACATATAGGAAGCAACAAAATTTATGCGTCATTCCAAAAGGACTAAGCTTACAGGAGACGATATAAATCATGCATTACGCACGCGTAATGTCGAGGTATATTTACTTTATTGTTGGATCCTTTTGTGCTGGAATAATTTTTTGCATCTCAAAGTTGATTACATAATGTTTTTCCGTCGCGTGTGCGTAATTATAGCCGTTATACGGCTTTAATGTACCAATATTGTATAAATTTGAGAGGTTGACAACAAACACAATGGATCTTTATTATCTTGAAGATGATGAATTGGATTTTGAAAGCTTAATTGATGCCCCTTTGCCTAAAGTTCCACAAGATGTTACTTTTACTGGTTGGTGGTTTTGTCATTGACTTTATTTCACGTTCGATTTGTACATGTATTTATTTATTCTTTTCGCATTTGTACATATAAGCTCATTGGCTCGCAGTTGAAGGTGTTCAGCCATTGATTCCACATAATCCAACAATAAAAGGTATAAAAAGTAAATAAATGATTTTTTTTTCAATACACACACACACCCACCCACACACAGAGTATTAAGTATAAACCTGCTTTTATTTAGGACCGGTTAAAACGAAAACAACAAAAAGTGTTGCTTCTACAACACATGAGAATTTAGAATCTAATATAACAGAAATTAATGGAACAATTGAGATGACGAATCCAGACACAACGAATCAATCAATTTCCCAAGAACATCAAAGATACTATGATTCGATCGTGAATGCTGTGTTTAGTCCAGAATCCAATGATGTTTTACGGAACCAGGCATTTACGAGTCTGAGCATTGATACGGGAATTAATAAATTATTACCGCATTTTACAAAACTTATATGTGAAAAGGTTCAAAGTAATTTTACATGCGATCTTCCCTTTTTATCGTGATGATTAACGAGAGGTTTTATGTGCAGGTTGTAGAGAATATTAGAAATCTAGAAGCGCTAGATTATTCAATGAACATGACAAAATCACTATTGAACAATGAGACTGTTTACCTTGACCCTCATGTATGTGTAATTTTCTTGATTATCACCGTGTATTCTACATTTGCGTTTCCGAATATTTATATATGTTTTTCTTAACAAGATTTTGCTAATGTGTAGTGTGTACGATGTTATTTTAAACAAAACAAAAAAAATAGTTGCATCAATTAATCCCCGCCGTATTAACCTGTTTGGTTTCCAAAAGACTTGGTCTACGATCAACAGAAGATCATTGGTCATTGCGTGAACACGCCGCGAAAATTATCGCTGAAATCATCAAGCGGTACGGACCAGCATATCACACTCTAAAACCACGTATTACAAAAACCTTGCTACGTGCACTACTGGACCCGAATAAATCATTTTCCACTCATTATGGTGCTATTGTTGGATTATCCGCATTAGGACCTGAGGTAGTAATGTTTTTCCTGATCCTATGCTTTTATGTGGTTCAATAAAATGGTTTATATTAATCGGAGTAAAAAAATGAATAATAAAGGTCATAAAAATTCTCATGCTACCGAATATAAAAACGTATGGAGATTTCATCAGAACACAAAACGAGAGTGGCGACACTATAGCTAAGGGTGAAGCTGACCGTTGTTTGCAGGCAATTATGGTAAGATTAGAATTTTGTTATCTGATCAATATATTAATCCCAATAGAACTACTCAATAATTTATGGGATTACAGGATGCACTGGATAAACTAATAGAAGATCTTTCATCAAGAAAAATGCCCAGACCTAAACATCTATTACAACAAAGGGATGTGAATCTGCGAGAAAAGTTAACAGAAAAACTTGGCAATTTGTTTACAGAGAAAATCTATGAACGGTTTCAAGATGAAGACTTGATACAAGATATTTTAAATAGTTTTGGTGGCGAACAATAATAAAAATGAATTGAGACAAAATTAATTTTTTTGCTATTCAATTTACAGTGCATAATTTATAAATCACGTTAATTACGTTGCAAATTCATAACTACAATATCATTATTAATAAAATGGGATGCAGTCAAAATAATTCTCGACCAGATGTTAGTGGTTACTTGGTGATTGGGTGGAATTAAGGAATTATGGTTAATCCACGATCAGCAATTTATCGAATTTTCGATTAGCCAAATCTCTATTTCACCAATCAGTCTCACGGATGGATTGTAATACATCAATAATAGGTAATACTAAGTATTACTATTATTTCCTGCATGATCTCCGGAAAGAATCAAGGCTCCATCAAGCAAAGCCCGGAGAAAAATTCCCCGAGCACCATTTTCATCTCGATCCATTACAGCCCCACAACTTCGGCACTTGTACATCTCAGATCCTCCTATTTTTTGAACACTCCCACACCAGCTGCAAGTTTTTGAAGTATAGGCCTCATTTTGGATAATAACATGGACCCCTAATTCTTCAGCTTTAACTACCAGACGTTGGCGAAATTGATAGTGAGCCCAACAGAGCATTTTTCCGAACAGTTTTTCGTGTTATATTTCTTGTCTTTCGATTTACCATATTTGATACCTCAAAAGAAAGAATGATAATGGCATCAAATTCGCGAGTAAAAAATGCAACACTCTTTATGAATTTCACTTTGCAGATGTTTGATTTTTCGTATCATCCGAGAAATTGTATTATCAAGTCGCAAGGCCTTTTTATTTTTACATTTTGAATTAGAGGTAGCCAGCTTGTCTCTTATAGAATGAAGATTATCCATAGATTTGCATAAACGAATAACTCGTCCAATGTCATATTGGCCAATTTTACCTACACCTTTAGTAGGAGAGTACCATATGAAGGGTGTCGAACGCCAGGATCAATGGAACTGCATGAACTGAACCATTTGCTTGGGTTTCGCTGAGCTGTTTTTGCATCTCATAAACCTATGAAAATTTCCATTCATTAGTTTTACGAATATATGTGATTTTACAATCAGATGTTATCTTGTGAGGAATAGGCCACTTATTATTACACCTTTTTTTTTCAAAATGAAGAGGCCACAAATCACATTTATCACGATCCAAAGTGATAATTGGCTTATGACGATGTGTAGAAAGCATTGATGGATTGTGAAGATAGGTAACATAAAAATGGTTCCATATGGATTTTGAAAAATTTTGTGAACGAATTGTTATTGTTTGTCGTAAATCTTTTCAAGATCAAAATGATAAAGATGAACCTCGTTGATTCGTGTTTGATCCTATATTATGGTTAATTATCTTAGCCCTAAAATTAATTGAAAAAATCAGGAAAAAAATTTAAAAAAAACAAAAAAAATGAAAACAAAAAAAAATCAAAAATAATAATCATACCCAGCAGTCAATGCTTCATCAATTGCCTCATCGATAATATTTACAGATGCTTTGCCATATGTACCTTGAAGCAGCATTCCAATACGCACAATAGTTCGTACAAATTTGCGTTCACCCCATACACATGATTTTTGAAGTTTCTTGTCCTTATGTTCATTAACATCTTTTCTTACATGAACATCTGCATAAAGTTTAAGTTTATCTTCAATAGGTTGAGGTTTTAACTCATTGTGCTGGACCAATATGTGAATTCTTGGTATAGAAACGGCAGTATCGACTCCAGCGAACAACTGCATTATATGCATATCTCGTCAAGCCCATCCAACGTTTCAATAGCTGCTTTTGAGATACACTTTGATTAGCAGTGTACGATTGAGAGTGGTTTCCAAGTGTTGTCGCTTGTTGCGCACTGATGTTGTCCTGATATTTGTCTTGCGCTTTTTTCCTAGCCTGGTATTCTCGGTGAATAACGGCTCTTCTTCCTTACATTCGGCAGATAAAGATTGTGTTGATTGCAAGGATATCTTGGGAAAGTTCGTGTTCATTGGAGGTCGTATCGTCGAAGGGAACCACGAGTTTTATAGTATGGAGGGAGAGTATATACTGGATGAGGTCGAAGGCGAAGCGGCAGAGTCGGTCACGATGGGTAACCACAATTTCTGAGATCATTCCGTGACTTGTCTGTTCCAATAAGGTCTTAAGTTCTGGTCGTTTGAAATTGACACCCGATCCAATATTATTGATGAGTTCGTAGGTTGAAACCGGGCGCTGAGGAATTGTTTCTGCCGTTCAAGATCCTCTTTTTGCTTGACACTAGAGACCCGAGCATAGAGGAACCCTTTTTTGGTGATGATGGTGGTAGTAGTGGCGGCGGCGACATTGTTATCGACATATTGTGAATCAACTCCGGAAAAATTAGAAGATATATTGTAAAGAAGGAGACGTTTTAGCTGTAATCTTCCAAATATTGTAATATCGTATTTCTACCAACTATTATTTTATTACAAAGAATCTTACCCAATACTCTATTAATTTATTTGCGTGATATACTTGCGTTTTTTCTTCTCTTTCACTTTACCACATTTTTATTCGCGTGTGTCTTCAAGTCGTCCGTTTACTTTCGACGCAGGGTGTCTGATAGATACCAGGAGCTAATATTGATGATATTTATAATACGATACCAGTGACAGACCAAATAAAATATGAAAAGTATTTTGAATAGTATCTTTAGGAGAGGAAAGATATAGTTTACGTTTTTTGATTTGAATCCTTATATATAAGCATTAAATGTACTAAGCAATTATTGCAACGGTATTACTAAGCAAAAAATTGAAACGATCGTTGGCGAGTTACATGTAGTTTTCGAACATTACAATTATTTCAGAGTTATCTTTCAAACTAAATACATGTACATGTAGTTTAATGTTTCATTGAAACAATCGACAATCGAAATTTATTATTATTATTATTGAGAAAACCCATTTTTACAGAACGAAATTCTGTAAAGACGAATCATTTTATGATAAAATCCAAAAAATCTAACGATAATACAATAATTTCAAATAAATTTATTTACAGTTGCATATTTCATTTATGCCATCTGCTTGAAAACTATATTTAATCATAAGTATACAACGAATAAGGTTACATGTTTGGATACCGTATGCTCGCTAAATAACGTGCAGAGGTGTAATTTCGAATTTCTGCCTGAATTAAGCTTAATGCGGGCCGTGATTCGACATGAGCGTTATTTCGCGGGTATACGTTATGTATAGCGGCAGGTTAAAATGAAATCAGATATCGGTACGATATACCGATAAAACTTGATTAGAAGAGTGAAGGCTTCAATTTTTTGTTGCACAATAAGTTTATTATACACTGATCATACTACACTGTTTGCTTAGTCTAATACATTTTTATACAGTTTCAACGGCTTTTTTTATAATTTTTATTTATTTAGAGATACAGTGTGTAACGAAAAAAATGACGGAGACAAAAAAATTGTATATCTCGACAAGCACAAAAGAGAATTAGACAAAATTTTGTCCACTTAAACTTTATTACATACTTTATCAACCTAATAAATTTTAATATGAAATTCGATCTCCATTATTTTTTACAACTAGTTTGCATTTATTTTTCACTGTTTGGTCTGAAATGTTTCCCATTCTTCAAGCATATATTGTCTTAATTCACCAATCTCTGTGGCATACATTTTTCTACATTATGTTTTACAATTTGCCACACATTTTCAATAGGATTTAGGTCCAGACTGTTGGATGGCCAGTCCATGACTTTAATTTTATTTTCCTTGTAAAATTCTGTTGTGACATATGAAGTGTGCTTAGGATCATTATCATATTGCAACTCCCTGTGGTTTCTATACAACTCTTTTGCACTTGGAATAAGTTGGATCTTTAAAATGTTCACAAAAAAAGGCCCTCCATAATGTCTGTGAAGCAAAACAAAAGTGTCTTGCCTTTTAAAGAAATTCCACCCAACACCATAATTTTCTGGCATGACTTTGGTAGATGTCAGATGTGGCCTATTGTTATCTTTATGCCATCTTGACGCCTTATTCCTAAAAAGATTAAAGGCCATCTCATCTGTAAATATTGTTTTGTTCCAGTTCTTGTTTAAATGAACTTGTACTCATGCTTTTCATGCTTCCATATGATGATTGGTTAATATTGGAGTTGCAAGAGGCAGAGAGCTATGGTATCCCCTTTTTTCATATGCCTCCAGATAGGCATATGTGAAATTGATATGTTGTGCCCATGCTTAGCTAATAGAGCAAGGTGTCACTACATTGATAGATATTTGTGGAATTTTTTACCTATATATTTCACACTTAAAATCATATTGATATCTATTATCTTTAAGCTTCTCTGGCGCCATGTATCGAACATAATCAACACCCTCAGTTCTGATAGCATCTCTTAAACCACGACTTAAAGCAAAATTTCCGATTTTTGCTGTGTATTACAGCGAATTGCCCTTTGTAATAAGAATATTTTGACTGCGAATGTCGTGATGAAGAATTTCAGCACTTTTTAAATAATTTAATCCTCTAGATATTTCCAAGCGAATTGCACTTGTAAGTTCCAATCCAATCTACGAATGTGGTAAAATTCTTTCAAATTTGATTCGGTAGCCCATTCGGTCACCAGAAAAATTTTTTTCAGATCAAATATAATGCCGCAAAACACGATTATATTCTCTGCTTCTTTTAATTTTTTAAGGATTGCGACCTCTTTTTTAAGGTTATTTTTAGACTCTTGATCATTTCGACTTTTTTGAATTCGACTAAGCGATTCTCAGGTGTTATATATCGTAGCACTCTGTTTGTTTTTACTCCGGTATAACGAAAGTGATTGATATTGAGAACTGCGTCTTCGAGTGCTTCATCAGAAAGCTTAATATTTTCTTTTTTCTGAAAGATTTTATTTAAAATAGGGACAGTTCCTACTCCTTGCAAAATCTTTTGTCCATCTGCGATACCACCACCGATATCCCTAATATACTAATCAAGCATTCGTATAAATATATTAATATTAATTATTTAGTGTGATTATTGATTATAATAAATTTATATTACTTTTTCCATATCACGCATATCCAGGTTTATAGCTTTGTCGTCTTCAATGTTTTGACCTTTCGGTTTAACAAAAATGAGACGATTTTGTAACGCAATAGTAAGTTCTTCTGCTACCTTTTCAAATTCGCCAATAAGACTATAAAATTTTCTATCCATCGAAAATTCGTGAGCTCGATATTCATTAAAGTATTTCATAACACCTTGTAGCTGCGAAATATCGTTGACAAAATTTTGGATTTTTTCAATCACTTTAACGAATCCTCGGAAAATCGGATAATTATCACTTTTTCAAAAAACCAATTGTAATCATTTTTTAGCTGACGTAAAGATTTCACTTCGCCTGCAGCGCTATTAACACGTTTAAGTAATACACTGCAAACCCTTCTATTATGCTCGGCCTTTTCGAATCTTTCTCCAATTTTATCCGCGTATTTTTGGAGTTCTGTTGTCAATGGTAAAAATATCGTATAATCCGTTTGTTTAATAGATACCTCAACACCTTCCATGCGTTCGTCATCTGTCATAATATGTTCGTCATCCGGCGTGTTAAGTAAATGTTGTAGAAGTGATTTAGGTCCCGAATTAATTCGCTTTTGATTATTCTGTATTACAAAAGCGTAAATTCATTATCTGATTAAGAACTTATTAAAGTAACATAGAAATCACCCAAAATACGTATAGCATACATCATTATAAGCTTGTTGAAGACTTTGCTTAATATTCTCGAAAATTTTTTTTCTATCTTGAGGTAATGATTTCCACTTTTCGGAAACAGATTTATCAAAATCTGAACTATCGATTTGGAAACCATGTTGTTTGATCTTTTTAACTACATAGTAATAGAAAATTGTCCAAGCTTCTGGTGGCTTATATTTGTCATAAAAAAATCTTTGTTTGCTTTATTATATCGTCTTCAATATTCAAATCTAATAGGCCCAATTCTTCAATACGCTGGAAAATTACTCTATTACGAAAAATATTTGTTGCCTTTCGTCGTTGAAGAAGATTTTGCTTAATATTTTCAAAAATTTCTTTTTGCTCTTGAGGTAATGATTTCCACTTTTCAGCAACAAAGCTTGATAAATCTGAGCTATCAATTTTGAAACCGAGTTTTTTGATTTTTTCATCTATATAATAATAAAAAATTATCCAAGTTTCAGGTGGCTTCTTTTCTTTTATATTTGTCATAAAAAAATTTCTTGTTTGCGTTATTATATCGTCTTCAATATTCAAATCTAATAGGCCCAATTCTTCAATACTGAATTTACTACGAGAAATCTCTTTTGCATTGATTTGCATATCGATATAGACAGACACAAATAAATACATTTATGTAGAGAGATGACGTGTAGATCAACGGATACATAATTATAAATCATACATCAATCATTCTTTACCGTTACCACATTGTCAATTATCAATAAGAGCTTCGCTCTGTGAGAGAGAGAGAGAGAGTGTGTGTGTGTGTGTGTGTGTAGTTCATAGGCGATAATGTTCATTTACAAAAATAAATAAAATAAACGAATACCTGGATCAGTGAATTGGGGTGGATGTTAGACAATAGTAATTACGCGGTTATGTGAAATGAAGAGCGAGATGGGCTATTAGACAATTTTGTCATTATTTACTTGAAACAGTATTTGAAATAATAATTGATCATAGATGGTTATTTAAAAATCAATAAAGTCATTCAGCTAGAGTAAATAGATCATGTTTCTTATGGAATATACCTTTATCATTACTTATTGACCTGGTAGAAAGAATCAAAATGCTGACACCTTATCCCAGATGCATTCAGAAGATTATTAGAAAATAACTCTCTTATTAATAATAATATTACCATAGCATAGTAACATAAATTTCTTTAATTTAATAAATTATCTGAAAATTTTCTTTTCTATATTTTTCCTATTTTATCACATGATTAACATTATTTTTATCAAATTATATAATTATATCATTTATTATATTTATTCTCTAAATATTATATTTATTTCTTTTTCTCATTTCTATCTATATTTTATTACCTAAATTTGAGATTTACTTTTTCAATCATTAATATATCATATTAATATTAATGTTTTACATATAATTATTTTAGTAATTCTTGAATTCTTGATAGATTAATTAGTTAATACATTTATAGATCTCTTCTTATATTTGCTTTTATTTTTTTAAAATCTTAATTTCAAAATATTAATATTAAAATCTTAATCTAAAATACTGATATCAAAATCTTAATATGAAACTATAATCTATATATCAGATATATCAGTAAATTTGATAAATATCAGATCAGTAATAATTAGTAAATATGCTAATCATTGCTAATTTTTGATTATATCAATTTAAAATCTGTATAGAACTTTGAAAATAGAAATTTTGGAGTGATATAACCTAAAAAAACTGTAATATTTAATATATTACAATTCTTTAAACATAAATTAAATAGATAAATAATAAATTAATTAATTATATACATTATATTTATTTTTTTTTCTTTAAAATTTATTATAGATATAAACTTAATTTTAAAATTCTTTGCTTATTAATTTTTTAAAATATATATTTATTTAATAAAAAATAACTTTTTTTGTCAAATTTCAATATAATATATATCTCTTGATTTATAAAGTCTATTAAAATTATATTATACTTTTTAATATAATATAAACAAGAATTGATATAATATTATATTAATAAATTATAACAAGCTTATATAAATTCTTTATTAATTCTCAAAAAAATCATAAAAAAGCAGTATCTATTGAAAGAAAATAAAAAGATTAATTTATTTAAAATTTTAAATTTGAAATTATATTTTTTTTTAAAAATTATATTTATCTTTTCATATCAAATATCTTTATTTAATTTATAATAGCTTTAATCTTTAGTTAAAGTTACTATAATATTACTAAATTATTTTTTATTATGAAAATATTTAGATATTCTCAAAATTTTATTACTTTTCAAATAAACTATATTATAAACTTTTATATAAAAGTTTTTACTTTTAGACTCTTATAATAATATATTGAAAAATATATTTAATATAATAATTCTATATAATAATTCTTTAATAAGATTTAAATATAATAAACTCTTTAAATTTTTTAATAAAATTACTTTTACTTAATAGTATTCAAGATAATTCTTATAATATCTTATTAAATCTTATAATTTATAATAAATTATCATTCTAAAGATGGTACAACAAGTATATGATGCTTATTTGTCACTTCTTGCAACATATTGCAATTCCAAAATTTTATAAGTCGCAACTAGTTATAACTAGATGATACTTTATTTATCACCATGTTGTAACAGTTGAGAAATTATCTTTATATCTTTCTATTAATTTTTTATACTTTATAAATATATATAATAATTTTAATTAGATTATTTTCTTTTAGATTAGATCTTTATTTTGTATTATTTATATAACAGATTAGCTTTTATAATACTTTTTTTAAAGATCATTTTCATACTAAATATATAAATAATTATCTATATATTTAATTAATTAGATTTAATATATTATTATACAAATATTTATTATATATAATCTTATTATTAATTTAGATTATTAATATTTTTAATTATATTTTAATTAATATTTTCTTTATATTCTTATTTATTATTTATATTATTATTTATATTATTTATAATTTATTATATTATAATTAGTTACCCTTTAGAGATATAAATTAAGTTAATTAATTATATTCAATATATATATATTTTAATTAAAAATTATTATTAATTGTAAGATTATTTTGTAAACAAAATAAAATATGATATGAATAAGTTTTAATTTTATAACTTATGATTATTTTTATTATTTAAAAGTATTCAGATCTGAAG